CATCCCCCTCCAATACCTGGGGGCCAAATGACCCAGCACAAGGGCTCTGCTGTCCCCCCTGGCTGTCCCCACGGCCATTCTGTCCCCACAGATAACCCGTTGCCTTGGTACCTGCTTCAGTTGCCATGGCAGTGGGATGCTGCCTCTGCTGCCGGCTCCATCTGGCAGCCTTGTGTGTGTCTGTGTGTCTGTGTGTGTCTGTGTGTGTCCACTCACACGTGTGCACACACACGCACACCCCCCAAAACAGAGGGCCAGCCTGGGCCGTGCCTTAGTTTCCCCAATTTTGAAGCCAAGGGGGAGAAACCCAGTGTGAGAGCCAACCACTGCCAACCCCACCCCATTCTCTCCGCCTTCCAGCCGAAAATAGACCCCGTGGTGGTCCTGCCCCCATGCCCTCCAGCCCCCCTACCTGGCCGCAATGAGGTGGCAGCGCAATACTCGTGGGTGGCCCTTCGCGAGGACACACAGCTCCAGATGGATCCCATCCTCATCAGGAACCACAGGTGCCAGGCTGAGCCAGCTGTCAATGCCTGCCAAGGAGAGCAGGGGAGGCACTACACGGTGCCAGAATGGGTCCCACTGCTCCCCACCCCACTGTGCCCCCCACTCACCCCGTGGCTCAGCTGAGATCTGCTGGTGGCTGAGTGAGACTTTCCCAATGACATCGTCCTGCCTGTGAGGGCACAGACACAGCAGGTGCTGAGGCCACCTCTCAAGGGGGTTCCCCAGTGCCCACCCGTGCCCCCATTGTTCCCCCTACCCGATGGTGTCTTCATCCAACACGTAGACAGTGAGGTTGTGGAAGCTGTGGGGCAGGCGCAGGGTGTATTCCTCACCCCAAAAAGGGTTCAGGCTCTTCCATATTGTGGCTGTCCTGAGGAGGATGTGAGGTGGCTGCACCCCCCGGGAGAGCCCCCATTCCCATGTGTCCCCTCCCTGGGATGGTATAGTGTCCTCATACCTGGCCACCACCTCGTTGTCCACCTTGACCACGCAGTAGGGATCACTGGAGCCAGACCTGGGGAAGGGATGATGGTGCACATGGTCAGCCTCCACTCAGGGATTGCCACGCATCCTAGGGGGCTGCTGCTGGGGGCTTAAACCCCTCCAGTGAAGCACCAGGCCCAGGGCTGAGATGAGTTGGCTGGTCTCAGTCTGGCCCTGCAGCTGACAGCAGGATGGGGACACCCCCTTCTCCTGGTGCTCTTTGAG